ATTAAAACCAGTTCACCATATGAAAACAAGACATAGAGCCATGCAGAAATTAATCACTTTATGCACAGTCTTAAAGTGAAATCGCAGAGCAGGGTACTAAAATATAAGTACCCCCTTCTCATTATCTTCATTATTTTCTAATGGGGAACCATATTCATATTTTTGATGTAGTTATCCAAGAAGCTTGACTGGTGCTTCTAACTTCAATGCTTGAAAACCTTACAAGCTGTGAAAGCAATTTCCCTCGGAATATGTTTCCCCGTCATATAAGGCAATACACTTTTCCCCAAGTTACCAGACAAAGAACAGATGCACAGAAGCTATGTGTAGGTGTACATTAGCAGGTACAGACAGAACTGAGCTCGGTCTTCCCATTCTAATATTGGAACTGGAAATATGATGGAAAAATACACCAATGTAGGCGTCTGCATCCAAATTTTTGGTCCAGACACAGTTCTAGCCACATGCTGCACCAGAGTTAACATACCATGCTGAAAGTTCATGGGCTGGCTTTCACAGCAAGGATATGGCTGAAAGAATAGTTCAGACATTCCCTTTTGCCATCTGTAAAGTAAAGGGAAACACTCTCTTTTCACCTGTCTTGAAATTAGCTTGGCTGCATGACAAAAACACCTGAGAGAAGTTACCCAGCTAAAAATCATCCCAACAAAGAAAAATAAAATAAAATAAAATAAAATAAATAAAATAAAATAAAATAAAATAAAATAAAATAAAATAAAATAAAATAAAATAAAATAAAATAAAATAAAATAAAGTAAAATAATAAAGACCGTTTGTCATCAGATTGAGTCTGAGACTTGCAGCCACAGCAAAGTGGAGCAAAACTCCACCTTAAGTAAAATTAGCAAGGGTGTAGTACTTGGTTAATGCCTAGCAACATGCCCAGAGGTAGAGAAGATTCTTTTTAGAGCAAGACTTGGGGCCTGGAAATTAAACCTTGTCTTCTCTATGTTTGGTGAGTCCTCTGATCTCAGTGATCTGCTGCAGTAAACCTTGTTCACGCATGCTTATTGGGAGTTATCATGATGGCATGTCTGTAGGCAGTCTGAAGTTAATAAGATTTCACTGAACAAAGCACTTTCAGTATGTGTTTAAACTTAAATGTGACCCAAATGTTCTGTTGAAGAAGGATGATCTTAAGTCTGTGCCCAATGGCCCTGTTAAATCAGGATGCAGCCTTGATATCAAAGTTCAAGGAACTCCCACTCTACTCTATTCTAATGAGGATCCACCAGGAGTTCAGCTCTGGGGTCCCCAGCATAATAAAAACATAGACCCGTTAGAGTGGGTCCAGAGGAGGACCATGAGGACTGGAGCACCTGTCCTATGAAGACAGGCTGAGAAAGTTGGAGTTATTTGACCTAGAGAAGGCTCTGAGGAGGCCTTATATCATCCGTCCAGTACTTAAAGGGGCTTACAAGAAAGATGGGAGGGACTCTTTATCTTTAATGTAGTAATAGAACAAGGGGTGATGGCTTTAAACTACAAGAGTGTAGGTTTTGATTAGATATAAGATAGAAATTCTTTACAATGGGGCTTTGATCAACCTGGTTTAGTGGAAGGTGTTGGAAGGAGAGTTGGAACTAGGTGATCTTCAGAGGTCCCTTCCAACCCAAACCATTCTATGATTAACTGATAAAGTGAGAAAATGCATGTTGATTTCCGTGAGCATTGGTTTAAAACATTTCAGTTTTGCAGCCCTTTAACCCATTTTTAAATATCAGATATTTAGAACTAAGGAAAACAACATATTGCCAGTAAATTGTTTGTAAACTGTGAATCTACCCCATTTTTTGTGACTATATTCAACCTTCTTGTACAGAAACATCAGGATGCACATTTAAACACACACCTGATTATGTGAGGCTTGAATGGGACTACCATTACGGTTAGACGTGTACTACCTCTCTACACAGAATCTAATTTTTTTGACTCAAACTGGTGGGGTGATCTGACTGCTGGAGCCATATGGAATCTGTAAGGATATTTTCAAACAGTTGCTTACACAATCAGATTCTAATATTTTAATGTTATTTAACTCCTACTCTGGTTTTATTTTAATCTTAAAGAACCATATAGTTTTATAGAATCATAAAGGCACATATACATGTATATTAATACCATATCATATATTTTTTCCAGCTGAATTTCATTCTGAAAAGAACAACAAAGCTACAGCTGAATACCACATGAAAAATATTAGGCTTGCAAGCACTATTTATATATCAAAAATCTTTATTAAAATCATGGGAGCACACTGCTGAGTAAAAACATCTGTCATTTCCCCTCCATCTTCTTTTTTTTTTCCCCTTAAACAGTAACACACACATTTCAAATGGCTGAAGAGTTTATTTAAGTTATTCTGAGCATATGGAAAGATCCTGTATCATCCACACACAGATAGTAGTGAAACTCTGAGATGAAAACCCCCAAAGCACTGAACATGAAGGAAGAGAGTGAAAGAAAACACAATCAGCATAAGTCAGCACTGAATTGGATATGGTAGGTTTGGTGATACATGTTCACTATTGTTCTAGGAACTGACTTCTTCCCCTCTGTCATTACTAAAGTTTGGGTGGGTAAGCTGTCTTTCTTAAAAGATATATTTATGCTTTGCTGACGACGTTGTTTTTCATGCTTAAAAAATAAAAATGTTCCCTATAATAAACATATAATTATTTATACTGTGGAGGCTCCAGTCTCAGTATGTGGAATACAGGACGAAAAGGGAGACTGTGCCTTGAATAGCTTATAATTTACTCTATTAATCTGTCATTTGGTATAAATTTAAAAAGCTGGCCAAAGTTTTTGTTCTTGTTTGAGCCTGTTTGAGCTTATGTTGCTTATATATTGATACTAACCCTCCAGCCTCTGTGGTCTTGCTCCCAATTCATAGCAGTGCACCTGTAAAGGAACACATTGTGTCAGCTTGCTACTCAGATAAATCAGATTACTCAGATGAGTAAGAACTGAACTGCAGCATGATGATGGATAGAGGAGACAATCTGAAGTCAACTGGTCAAAAGAACTCATGGGACAGCACGGTAGCAATAAGAAGTGTGGACTGGGGTTTGTCTGGTCTCCAGACAGTCTCTTCACTGATGGACAGGTTAGGTCACCCAGCTTCCGGTACCTAATAGTAATTTCTCATGTTTTGAAGGAGAAATATTCTTATCTTCAACAGCTGCATAATTCTTGATCAGACATTACACAATGCTTCTTTTTCCAGAGCATAGTAAATGACTCTGGCCTGGCTTCCTGCCATGTATGCATTTATACGTTGCTTCAGCCTTTGCTTGTCTGGAGAATGAGAGCAAGAAAAAGACACTGTGCACATATCATAGAGTTCCCACAGAGCAGTACAAATGCTATGAATTAATGTACTGCTGGGGCAGTTTTGCAGTGGAAAAAAAAAAAAAAAAAGAAAAAAAAGAAAAAAAAGATCCCTTTCCCCATCATCTTTTTCTCAGCTCTGTAGTCAAGTGAATGTTTAGGCATCTGTTTCTTTTCTTTTCTTTTCTTTTCTTTTCTTTTCTTTTCTTTTCTTTTCTTTTCTTTTCTTTTCTTTTCTTTTCTTTTCTTTTCTTTTCTTTTCTTTTCTTTTCTTTTCTTTTCTTTTCTTTCTTTTCTTTTTTCTTTTCTTTTCTTTTCTTTTCTTTTCTTTTCTTTTCTTTTCTTTTCTTTTCTTTTCTTTTCTTTTCTTTTCTTTTCTTTTCTTTTCTTTTCTTTTCTTTTCTTTTCTTTTCTTTTCTTTTCTTTTCTTTTCCCTCTTTCTAAAAGCTTATTTTATAAATATTTTCTCTTCTACTTATGTTCCTTATGTGATAATTTCATGACTAACTCCGTATTTCCTGAAATTGCAAGGGTACCTGCAGGATGCTACCTTGTCAGCTGGAGTAACTTAGTTCTATTAAGGAAGCAGTCTAACTTTTGTACTTGTATCTGTTTAAGTTCTAGGGAATTGTACCATTTCTATTTGTGAACCTTCTTGTCAGCCAAAATAATTTTAACCTGGAGAATTTCTCACAAGCAAGATGTAGGTGAAACTGAATTTAGACTCAGCTGAGTTACAGCAGTAACTGTGTTACAGCAAATAGTTTTTCATATTCTTAAGCAATTCAGAGACAATGAAAAAAATGTAGATTTTGGCAAATGATGGTGAGTTTCATAAATATTCCAACTCCATTGCCTAAACTTTTATATTTTTAGAACAGATCTGGCATTGTCTTGGTCCAGGATAATGAACACTTTCAGAAAAAATGCTTGGAAAGTTCAGGAGTCAGCAAGGATTTTCCCAATATGAGATGTAAATATGACCTGAACAGGGCATACCATGGCAGTTGACTTCAGTTCCAGAGAGCACATTTGGTTTATTAATACAGATTTCCAATGCCCAAAGTTGAATGCTTCTCTGATTGCCAATAATCCCCCAAAAGGACAGAAGAAATTGATTTTAAACTGAGGTGCTTCTTATTGCCTTTTGTAAATATATCTGACTGAAGATTTTCACTGGTAAGTCAGTGTCTAAAATGGGGATGAAGGCTTGTTTGGATCCTCTGAAGAAGCTTAGATAGTAAATCAGACAGGCACAATTAAGCAGTGCCACTTGCTGTATCCAAGAGCACACAAGGAGGGTATAAACCTATGTTTGCTCAGACTGTATAAATTAATGTCCAGTGAGCCATTCATACCCTGGTCAGACTTGGACATAATTTTGTAACTTTAACACAAGGCTTCAGTTTGTATCACTGGGAATATTCCACTACTACATCCTGTTTAAACATGTTGAATCTGGCAAACTTTAATACAAGACTTTACCTTACATTAAATAAGGGTGGATTTAAGAAAATGTAGGAAAACCAATTTCTACTCCAAAGTAAAAACCTCCAAAATCTATGCAGCTGCTGCTCCTTCAGTGGCTATATTTTTCTGTTTCCCATTTCACATGCAGTAGTCATTGTCAAAGCTTCTCTCTGCAGGTGGCAGTGCCTCGCTGCTAAATGGTGCCTTGCTGCTAAATGGTGAGAGAGAGCAGAGAGAGGAATCCAGGGCTGCTTCCAACAGAGGGACAAGCAGTCAAGAGGACCAAAGAGGATGGCAAACAGGAGGGATGGTGGAAGATGTTGGTAGCATGAAGAAAAGGACGGTGATGGCAGGGATGAGGAAAAAAAAATATGGAAGAAATACACATAAAAGAAGAAGAGGGAAAATTCAACATGAAGAAGTAGAAAAGGTGGAAGCTGCCATTATTGCAGCTGCACAGAAAGAGAAACAAAAGTAAGGAATGAAGTGAAGACATACAAAAAGGTAAGGAAGTTTTAAAAGCACATCCTTGTCATGACTTCCTAAAGAAGCAAGGTGTGACAGGATGCTAATGGCTGGTTTTGCACCTACTATAGATCTCTGTGTCTCTATGAGTCATTAAGAATACACCTACTGCATATGTTAAGAGAATGGCAAAGCACACTCAAATTTTACATGATTGGGCCATATTAAGAAAAACTTAAAAAAAAAAAAGAAAAAGTGGTCCTCAGTCTTGGCCCTAAGTACTATCACAGCCTTTCAGGCTTCTGGTGTTTTCCAAAGGAAAAGAGTGATTTCCTCTGAATTCAGGATCAACAGGCTTATCATTTTGTAACTGCTGTGATAACTTAAATGGCAAAGGTCTTAAGGTTTGGGATCTTGAAACGCAATAGTGTGACATGATCCTAGGTGATAAAACAAACTATAAGCACCTGAAAACACAGTTAACTGTCAAGAGGAAAGTTTGGCATCTGCGAATCATTTTCCTGAAAACTTGGTCCAAGTTCAATATGATTATACAATTACATGGTCATCCTTTGCTGCAAACTTCTGTCCATTTCCCTTCCCTTCCCTTCCCTTCCCTTCCCTTCCCTTCCCCTTCCCTTCCCTTCCCTTCCTTCCCTTCCCTTCCCTTCCCTTCCCTTCCCTTCCTTCCCTTCCCTTCCCTTCCCTTCCTTCCCTTCCCTTCCCTTCCCTTCCCTTCCCTTCCCTTCCCTTCCCTTCCCTTCCCTTCCCTTCCCTTCCCTTCCCTTCCCTTCCCTTCCTCCACCCCCGCTGTGAAATATAGTGAAATATTAATATTAAATAAAAAAATACTAAATAAATAAATAAATATTAAAAATAAATATTAAATCATACTTTGGGAAGGGGATTGTCCCAAAGAATATACTTATTGATTGATTCAGGACACTTTAGCGGTCAAGTGTAAATTAATCTCACTTTGTTTCTTGATCCATTCTGGCCTAATATTCTCAAGCATTTTAAAACTTAATCTTTTGCCAAGAATTGCTTCCTAAACTAAATGGCTAATTTCACAGCTTCTTGTAAGGGTGAAGCATGTGTATCTTTCCCAGTGAAGACAAGGAATCATGGGACTAAATAACAGACCTTAGGGACCTGGACAAATTGGCAGGGTACAAAACAGTTGCTCTGAGAACAATCATGTCTCTAAACCATCAATTCTCATTCATATGTAATGTCATGATCCTGTTCCTACTGAAATAATTGTTAAAGCCTTTCCTAATTCCACTGGGACTAAGACTGGTCTTTTGGGCTTCCATTCTGCAAACACACATGCACATACTGAACAGGCTTATTCACATGATTAAGTTAAGCATGCAAATAAGTCTTTTCACTTGCAGTTTATACATTACTAATGTTTGCAAACTGGGAAGTTATTTTTCTTCCTGAAATCTTTGGTGTGAAAAATCTACTGTTTCCATTGGTTGTAAATGAAAGGTTTTGTTTCATGAGCTGAAAACACTAAATTTTTTTTTTTTTTAATTGTAAAAATAAGAAACAGTGGTTACAAAGGGTCTTTGTCCCCACACAAGTTAGCTGCAGGAAGAATTTCATTAAGTTGTTTACTGGTCATGGCTTTTTTCCTTCTAGATGAGTCTTGAAAATCCAGACAACCCTCAAGGAGATATATAAATCAAGGAAAATATATTTGAACAAAATAATGAAAAAATATGTTCTACTAAGATAACATTGTTCAAAATTACTTGGTCAAAATTAATATACTTCCAGGAACAGGCTACTTTCTTTTGCAGGCAACATGTAAGGAAGAAGGAAAATAAAAAAAAAAAAAAAAAAAAAAAAAAAGGAAAAAATGATGAATGGACTCCTTAGCTTCTTATATCTCTGTTCACAAACCACTCTTCTCCAGAAATGACTCATATCCCGTTCCCTCACTTTGAAACCCTGTGAAATGTACATGTTTCTTGAATTACATGAACATTCTTCCCACTAATCCCACTAAAATAGGAGGTTTTATGCTAACATTCCAAGCCTCTAACCAATTTCAATATCTGCATTTTATCTAAGTAAACAAGAGTGTCAGGGAATTCCTTTTTCTTTCCTGCTTTCCAGGAAATGTGGAATTCCTTTCTTTCAACTAGTAGATTGGTAGATATTGGAACAGCAAAAGAGCAGGAATTAGTAGGGTATAATTGCTGGGGAAAAGGTAGAGAGCCAGGATAGATAACAGTCCTTGGCAACAAGTCGTATTGTTCCAGCTGGTATGAGAGGGACCATCACTGTTCTGGAGCCTGCACTGGACTCAGTGTGCAATGCAAAGGGGGAGTAGGGTGCTGCAGAACTAAACCTTCCATACCTGCTGTGAAGGTCCAGGGAGAGACCATGATCTTAACCATGGACTTGTGTCTGTTAACTCAGATGTGGGATATGAATCCTGGATTATCTCTTCCTAGTAAAGATTTGTTGATATGTTGTCTGTGTATTTAATGCACACTGTATATACAGGATTTGGAGCAGAGAACAAAGCATTGAAGTACTTACATATGAGCCTGTGATTATATTTCTGGTTTCACATTCTCTTTCTCACTTTTCAATTGAAATTAATCTTGGATTCTTTTCTGCAAAATGTCTCAGTTTCAACCACTTTTTGTTGTTGCCACAGTAACATATGTGATGTGAACAAATGCTTTCCAAGATCACAAACTTCAGCTTATTCAAAGATGGATTTCAGGCTGCTTTCAGTGTAATATATATTTGGACAGATTGAGCCAAGGATCACACAATTTCTATATCCTTTTGGGCTGTTGCACTGCACAGAAAACCTGCTTCTGTTTCACGGTCTTCCTGTGATCACCCCAACTATTGTCTGTTCTTCACTGCTGTGTATGAAATGAAGAACAGTTTCAATCCAAACTTCAGAGGAGGCTTCCTTTGTTTTTAGTGACAAGAAAATATGTACATTTGGGGTTTGAGGAAATGGGGACTCTGCCTCTAACCATGTAAAAATTAGTTACAGACAGAGGCATTGTTGAAATAGCTTTGCTTTGCTGACATGCATCGAGGTAAACCAGTTTACAAAACTGGGTACAGGTAGAGAATTTCCTGTAAGACCAGCAAGCATATTATGATTACTGCCTCTGTAGCCCAGAATAAGGACTGTGTAATATGGAGAATCCAAAATGTCTGGCTCAATTTTCTGCAACACTGACTTTTTCTCTTCTAGTAGATCAAAAGACCTGTTCCTTTATTTATTAAATATAGGTGGAAGAGACATCTAGGAAAGGTTTCATTGACTGTGGACTGTGGTGGCTTTAGGAATAGCTGTTCTCTCAGCATTTCTGAGCAACCTCTACAACATTTTCTAAATTTGCGGAGTACTTAAGCTGATTACTTGAATGGCCTCACCTCTTACTGTGCCTCTCTGGTCACTTAAACTCAGCTGCTGGTTGGAACATAAAATAAAACTGTAAGATACAATTGTAGCTTAGCTTACAGAACTTTGCTTTCTGGGACTTTCTCAGTGCTGTTCTAAACTCTTCAATAAGGGTACGGGAAAGTCTAACCAAATGTAAAGAGGGCCAGAAAGAGCTGTTGATTGTGAAAGAAAACTAATTTATTCTATGTATAAAGCATTACCTTGACTTCCAAATTATTATTTTTTTTACCCCACTCTATTACATCCCAACTGATGAACATAACCAGAAGGTAAAGACAGGCAAGGTCTGATGAAACCCTGGTCAGTGCAATGGAGATACAAACAACTTATTTGTCAAGTGCACCTCAGGATAAATAAGCCTTCTAGACCTGATTTATTTATTTGATTTCAGAAAAGCATAGATTATTAAAGACAGCAGCTCTCAAACAATAATATGCTATCCTTCAACAAAGAATCTTAAATTTCCAAAGTGGCAGAGGACTTTTGAGTTCAGGAATTTTGTGCTGGATCTTTCTGCTATTATTAAAACCATGTAGTCTAAAAGTCAGTAAAAAGCATGTAAACAATGATAGTTCTCTGCCACTTTTCAAAACAAGGTTTTATAGGTGTGCATTCCCTACATTATTAACATGACTGCTGATGTCTGATATGTTTTTAGAGTAGAGGACTTTTCATATGTCTACTAGGGAAATAAATAAATAAACAAATCTAGCCTTTATTTTTGTGTTTCTAAGAGACCAGGTGGTCTTTTTTAATTTTGTTTTTTTACAAGCCTTAGTTGATGTATTTGTTAAAATATGTGAAAATGGATGTCTAATCTTCACAGCATACCTTTAAGGTAAAACTCAACTTACTAAGAAAGTGACTGAGAGACTCAGAAGTTGCTACTGGCTGTGAATTAAGCTAACATGAATCAGTAAAAATCTCCAATGCAGGAACACATTGTCTTTAAGCCTATGCTGCGTCAAATAAATACACATTGTAATGTTCTTATACTTTTAGATATCTATTTTATTATAATTCATCAATATTATTTTAATGTTAATGTTTATTTGTCTGAAAATTAGTACATTGTTTGATGGCATCTGAGCCACAGAAGAGGATGTTTCATTCACATGACTGTACGTATATATATATTTTTATATATATGCACAAATGTATATGCACATACACAAGCGTTTTCACTCTAGGAATTTTAAACATTTAATCTTAATGGAACCTCTTTTTAATATAATATAATAACTGGCAGGAAGTGAGTACTGCTGTGAGAATTTGCATCATTTCTGCATATTTGTCATAAAGAACAAGAAAAATATATTTATTTATAGCATACCCACCTCTTTCCCTAAACATCTGACCTTATGAACATATCAGATGATGAATTTCATTACTCAATGTAAAATTACACCAATTTTTGAGCTGAAGCCCGACAAGCTTGAGTTTTAAGTGGTAATCAGCAATAATGTATTGCTTGTACCTTAATGTCACTATTGGTGATTTAGTGATTAATTATCTGACTGCCGTGTAGAGCTTAAAATAATCTAAATGCATAAGGTAAATTAGTTGATCAGGAGAAAAGTCTGTCATGCAAATTCAGTTCTTACAGAACCTTCCTGTCACACTCATCAATGACAGCCTAAGTGGGTCACCAGAGTGGATGGCCCCTGTTAATTTATTTTCTCAGACATGCAATACATATTCATGATATCCTGCTGTTTGTCTGTCACCTCAAAGAAACTCTCTATCTCCTCCAAATTATAATTAATGAAAATATGCACAGTTAGGCTTAGGGGCTTGGAAGAAGAGATACTAGTATTATGTTGCAGGGGGTTGCAAGGTATTGATATCAGCAGTTTCTTGTTAATGTGGTAGAGGAAAA